ATATGTCTTCTTTCCCCAAGTATTTTAAGCTCCTTGGGGGCAGCACTTTGCCCTTTAAATGGTTTGTCAGTCAATCAGTCAGTGTGCTAAGTACTGGGGATACCAACAAAAGAGAGCCTCTGCCCTCAAGAAGCTCACAATCTAAGGGGGGGCGGGCAAAAAGTAAACAAATGTATACTGACAAGCTATATTCAGGATAAATAAGAAATAACCAAAAGAGAGAAGGCACTAGAATTAACAGTGATCAGGAAAGGCTTCCTGCAGAAGATGGGATTTTAGGTGAGACTTAAAAGGAAGCCAAGGAAGCCAGTAGATGGGGATGAGGAGGAAGAGCATCTGTGGTGTGGGAGACAGCCAGAGAAAATGCCCAGAGTGGGGAGATGGAGTATCTTGTCTGTGGAACAGCCAGGAAGCCAGCATCACTGGATCAAAGAGTATGTGGCAAGGAGTAAAGTATAAGAAGACCAGAAAAACATTATGATGGGCATTGAATGCCAAATAGAGCATTTTGTATTTGATGCTGGAAGCAATAGGGAGCCACAGGAGTTTATTTTTTTGGGGGGAGAAGGGGGTATATGGTTGGACTTGTACTTTAGGAAAACCACTTTGGTGGCTGGTTAGAGGATGGTTTGGAGTGGAGTGAGACTTGAGGAAGGCAGACTCACAAGCAGGCTATTACAATAATCCAGGTGTGCGGAGATGAGGGCCTGCGATAGAATGGTGATACTGTCAGGAGAGAAGGGAACATATCTGAGAGAAGCTGCAAAGGTGAAATCGACAGTCTTGTGCTTAATATATGTTTGCTGATGTTGACTGCTTCCATCCCATAGTCTGCCGAGGTGGTCCCCCATGCCTGCCTGGAATGTACTTCCTTACCTATCACAGGCCTCTTATACAATCCCTAGTTTCCTTCAAAACTCAGCCCAAATGCCATCTCCTACCCAAGACCTTTTTCTATTCCTCCCTGCCTCTAGCATCTCCCCCAAAATCGACCTTCCATTTATTTCACATATTTACGTGTACACATTGTTTCCCCCAACAGATTGTAAGGGAAGGGAAGGCTTCATTTCTGTATTCTTAGCATCTGGTACACTGCCAGGCACATAAATGTTTGCTGAAGGACTGAGAGAATGGAGGCTCTTCCAGCCTGTTCAAAACAGTTTCCAGGACACTGAACTCAAAATCCACACTGCACTCTCCCAAGACATACCTCAGCCTCTTAATTACTAATTGGTAAAGCCTCATAAAACTGCTGCTTGCTAGGGCTTCTTTTACCCTAAGAGAAACTAAGGCACAAAGAGGACAAATCCAAGGACCAAAGATAGAAGCCTCTGTCCACTGTTCCATCCCTGGCCCTAAATATCTCTCTAGATTTCTTTCTAATAGTTTCTCCTCTTCTCTTACAGTCTGGCTAGGTGTTTTTAGCCCCTGGCAGTTACGTGAAAAATCTGCTATAAGCTTCTTCAGCACAATAAACTTCCAGAATACTTGGAGAGACCTCCTAACTTTGGTGTTACAGCCTTTCCCTGTAGCCACATCCTCCCTTCTGGTCCCTTGAATCTTTCTATCTTAGGGCCACTTTGTTCTATATAGGGTTCCTATCCCTTATTTTGGCTGCTGATGAAAAAAATCTAGGTGTTTTAGCTCCCTCAATATCCTCACTGGGTTGAAAGAGTTCCAGAGGGCTAGAAGAGTTTCTAAAGTGATGGTATGATTGTCTTCCCTATGTACATGACAGCATCATGTTTTACTAGAATAGAGTTGGCCTCTCTCTGCATGGTACAATGGAAAGGAGGCTGAGGTGAGAGGACTTACTCCCTTGTGACTACAGGCAAGTCACTTAACCAGTCTGGGCCTCAGTTTCCTCTTCTGTAGGACCGGGGCATTGGACTAGACTACCTCTAAGATCTCTTCCAGCTTCAGGTCTATGATCCTGTCATTCTTTGTATGATGGTACTATGCTACTATCTCCCTTCAAGGCTGTGCCTGGCAACACTGTAGATACTAGGAAAGGAGGGGCTGGGACTAGGGTGGGGAAAGACCATGCTCTGGAGGGCCCAATTCTGGCTTATTTTTGGCTTTATAGTTACTGAGTTTATTTCCTGGGGGCAGGGAGGCGGGGGAGACAAGGGGGGGAAGCAGCTGGAAGAGTTAACTGGATTTTCCTTAGGAGGTTAGAGTTTGTAGCTATTTACTGTTTTTCTCACTAACCAAACTGGGCTTGAGTTAAGTATCCAAATTCAGTCCCTCTGAATCTAGGAGCCTGGGAGAATGTGAGAAGGGCCAATCCAACCTGGTTAAATCTTTATCTAGAATGTAAAGAGTTGAAAAGGATGTTTTGTGAATGACTCTAGGTGGTCTCAGGATGTTCTAAAGGTAATGAATGAGGGATAGGCATGGGAAAAGGGAAGACTCTGGATCATTTTCTAGAAAATGTTTTAGCTAAAGTCAAATCCTTCGAGGCCGTGGGACATAGTGGATTAGAGCACTGGCCTCAGTGTAAGGGAAACCTGAGCTCAGGTCCCTGCTCTGATACATACTGGCTAAATAACCTTGGGCAAGCAACTCTCCGACACTATAAGGTCCAAGGGAAGTCATAAACTGCATCCCTAAGAATTTCCCTTACTGAGATTTGCATGCCAATGAAATTATAGGTCCAGTCCAAAAAATAAAGTCAAATCAGCAGAAAAGGCAAGAAATCCACACACCATCACACAACTTTTAAGGTCATTGGCCTGATATGACTTTGGTTGGGGTTGGGGCGGGGGGGTTATTATCACAAAAAGGTAACTTGGTGTTTGTTGAATGACTGGTGATTTAATTGCAATAACACTGAGTTACAGAAGACATGGGTTCCAATTCCGGTTCTGTTACCTACTAGCTGTGGGACACCAGGGAAGTCAGTTGATCTCTCTAGTCGTTTCATCTATACAAAACTGTACTAGGTCAGTTCTAAATCCTGATAAGCTTGTGTACCTGAGCAAGACTGAGTTATCAAGCTTTTGTACCCCAGTAAAAGGCCTTCCTCAGGCTATGGGTGAACTGAAGGCACCAGACAGAGCATATGCTGGTTTCTTTCTGATGAATTTCATCCCCGGCCTTCTACTTCCCAGTGAGAAGTCCTCCAGGAAGACAATGTAACATTTTACAGTGGGTGGGTCCTAGCCAGTTTCTCCTTAGTTCCTCATCTTTTAAACTGCCAAACCCATCACAGGATCATAGATTACAAATTATAGATCCACAGAGGTCATCTAGTTCAGGGATTGGTAAACTACAGCCCAAGGGCCACATCTAGCCCTTGGCCTGTGAACTGAGAATAGTTTTTACATTTTTAAATGCGACAACTTTATTTGAAACTTTATTTCAAAATGTAAAAATGGTTCATAAGCCATACAAAAAGGCTTACCCACCCCTCACCTAGTCCAACCCTCTCATTTTATAGAAATTCATGGAAATGAAGTGGATTGCCAAGTGAAACAGTCATTGGCAGAATCAGAATTTGAACTCAGGTCCACTGACTCCAAATCCAGTACTCTTTCCACTGTATTATGGCACCTCTATCCCCAAAAGAACATCCTTGAAGAAGATGCATCCTGGCTTTTAAAAAAAGTTCTTCATAACCTGGGCCCTTTCCTACCTTTCTAGTCTTCTTACACTTCCATCTACTCCATATACTCTAAGATCCAGTGTCACTGGTCTCCTTGCTGTTCCTGGAAAAAAAATCAAAACATTCTATCTCCCTCCCCACTCCATGCCTTTTTCTTGGCTGTCCCCCAAGACTGAAAGGCACACTTAATGCTAGGAAACTGGTAGACTAAAGACACTATTATTTCCATGAGGTCTCTAGTAGAATGTAAGTTCCTTGAGGGCAGGGACTATTTGGTCTGATCTTTGAATCTTCAGGCATTACGGAGGGGTTGGTAAACCGGGGGGGGGGGGGGGGGAATTACTCAACCAGTTTAGAGCCAAATCTGTAAGAAATCACAGTGAGAGGGGAGAGGTGGAGGAGTGTCACCCTTCAGAAACAGAACAAAATAATCCTGAGTACTACCCAGCACTCCAGCTCTAGCTCCAGCTCCCAACAGCCAACTGTATTTCCCTGTCATCTTCAGCTCCTGCTACTCTTCTTTTTAGCCCGACACCAGCAATCCAGTCAGTTCCCCAACTTGACTCCACTCCATGTTCCAGAAATAACTTACTGGGTTCGACCTCCCTCCCAGTCACAAACTAAGGTTCAGAAGTGATTCCAAGGATAATGGGTGCAATTCAATCTCTCTATGGCTACCTTGGCTAGACAGGGAATGAGTCCAAAAGGAGGTGTCCCTCTCTATCAGAAATGAGACCTAGAACGAGAGAGAACCGTGGTTCGCAAAAAGAAGCCTCAGAAAAAGCATGCCCAGTTCAGGGGAAAACTTTGTTTTCATCTCCTCCAAAAATGCCCGTTTTCTTCCCTTTCAACCTCCTTGCTGCTGAAAGGAGCAAGGACATGTTCTAGTCCATAAATGACTTCTTGACAGTGTGGCTTGAGCTTGGATAAAAGCTTTGATGGAAGGAAGGGGATGTGTGTGCATTAGGTTTGGGACTGGTGAGTAAAACTCTCCTACTGCCTTTCTAGTCAGACTCTTGAGAGGTTGCCAAGAACTGATGAGTTGGAAAAGTACAGAGCAAGAGAAGAAGGCCCATTAAATATGCCTAAAAGACCAATGAAGGAAGGCTAGTCTTCAGCCTAGGAAGCTATGACACTACTATTCCACACACTGAATAATTTGCCTGCATTCCATTGAATTTTTAAAGCCCTCAAAATATTACTTGGAACTCTCCCCATTCCACCACCTGAAGTAATGAAATAAGGGACAGATTCTCCTAAATGCTTTTGTTCACCCCCATAGGCAGTGTCTCAAAGTAATGGGTAAGAGAGCACAGGCTATATACAAACAGAACCTGTCATAGCAGGCATAACAAGATCACACAAATAGTCTTAATAGACCACTAGGCCTTACCCTTTTTGAACTCCTCTAGCATGGCATCCAGTTTGGTGTCATGGAAGACAAAATGAACTGGATGGTTGTAGAAGCGGGTGATGGTTTTCAGAGGAGTGCAGTCATCTGGGTCCACAAATGCCAGGTCTTTGACATAGAGGATATCTACAATATTGGACTGTTCCTCCTCAAAGACTGGGATGCGGGTGTACCCACTTTCCATAATCTCTGACATAGTGTTAAAGTCCAGGATAGCATCACTTCTGATCATGAAACAATCGTGGAGCTGGGTCATGATATCCTCCACCATTTTGGTCCTTAGTTCCAGGGCACCCTGGATCATATTGAGCTCCTCCTTCACCAGATCATTGTATGGCTCAGTCACCTTCAGCATCTCCATCAGCTTTTCCCTGTTGTAGATTGTACCAATCTCCTGACCAAGAACATAATCCAAAATCTTGCTGATTGGAAAACTTAAGGGGAAGGTGAGAAGCATAAACAATTTAGTGACATTGATTGTGTTGGCCCCTACAGCCAAGCCATGCCGGGAACATATTGCCTGGGGCACAATCTCTCCAAAAATGACAATGCCAATAGTGGAGGAGGCCACGGCCACCACTCCAGAGCCAAGCAGGCTATCCAAAAGGATTGTGAGGGAAGTGTTGACCAGCACGTTGCCCAAAAGCAGGGAACAGAGAAGATAGTTCCCCTTCCTTCGAATGGGCTCAATCTTTCGGGCATACCTTCTCTCTTTCTCCTTGCCACAATTTTGTATGATCCTTAGCTCCATGGGATCCAAGGCCATGAGACCTAGATTGAGGCCAGAGAAGATGCCAGAGAGCACCAGCAGCACCAAGACAAGTACAATGTGCAGCCAGAGGGGCAGGAACTTTGGCTCATCCTCCAAGAGGAAGAGCAAGGCGTCCTTCCCGGGCCACCTTAACCATTTCCCCCCACTCCAGGTACACAGACCATAAAGCCTCGAATTCTCACTCCTCCTTAGGTACTTGGTTTCCAGGATCAGCAAAGCGTTCGAGTTGTCTCTACTCAGGTTGACCAGTTGGTGGACCACCAGGTCCTTGGTGACCCCGGTGCAGAAGTTGGATTGGTGGACATCCTGCATGGTCTCCAGCTCAGTGAAGGTGATTTGGCCAAGGCTGAAGGTGTCCAGGTTGAGGCCATACAGCTTCAGCCTCACCTGGCTGCCCTCGGAGGCGAAGAGGATGCCCTCGGGGTTAGTCCCGCACGTCTTGTTGCAGCCTACCAGCCTCATGCCCAAGATTTTGGGCTCGTCCTGGCCCCAGGTACCCCGGACCCAGAGCAGCAGCCCCAGCGCCACCAGAAGGAGGCGCCCTCGGGCCCGTCCTCCCGCCGGGCCCGGGCCCAGGCCCCCGCCCCCGCTGCCCGGCGCCATGTTGCTCCTGCCGCTGCCGCCGCCGCCGCGCCCCAGCGCCCCAGCCCCGCGCCGCGCGGCCCCGCTCAGCGCCGCCGCTCCTGCTGCTCCGCTGCCGCCGAGCCAACTGCCCGGGCCGCGGGCCTGACGTCACACCGGCGGCCCGCCCCCCACGGCCACAGACACACACCCGGTCCCACGCCCCCTCCGCCGGGAGCCACGCCTACTTCATTTGCATGACACCGCCTCCTTAAACCCCTTCCTCCTTCCTCCTTTGGATATACCGGCACTTACTGCCCTGGTTTAAGGGGGTCTGGGCTTTTAAGGTGGAACTGGGCTGGGCAGGGATCGTATGACTTTTGAAGTTGAGAAGTGAAAGGGACATTAAAGGTCATCTAGTCAAGCCTCCTTGTTGTACAGATAAAGAAGGGGAGGGAGACCCAGAGAGAGGTGCCCAAGGTCACGCAGGGTGTAAATGACAAGATTAGGATTTGAACCTGGAACATGTTGGCGCCCCGCCCCTTAGAATCATCTCCTAGGATGGTAGAACTCAAGAACTGGGAGAGACCTTAGAAGTCATCAGGTCCAGTCCTGGACCATTGCCAGAGCTTTCTGGCTAGTTTCCCTGCCTCAAGTCTCTCCCCCGCCCGCCCATCCTCCACCTGGCTGTTAAATTGAGCTTCTGAAAACACAGGTCTGACCAGGTCACACACAACCTCCCCCCAAAAGCAAACAAACAAAAAAACTCCAGCGGCTCCGTTGTCTCCAAGATCAAATATAAAACCCTGTGTTTGGTGTTCAAAGTCTTCATAACCTGCCCCCTTTTCCAGACTTCCTAACTGCCCCAGCCCCCCAACATAGTCTTGAATCTAGTGTCAGGGGCCTCCTTGCTGTTCCTGGAACTAGACACTCTCATGTCCCGACTTGGGACATTTTACTGGTGATGGATTTCTCTCCCTCCTCCATTTCTGTCTCCTGGCTTCCTTCAATCCCAGCTAAAATCTCACCTACAGCATGCCTTTTCCAGTCCCCTTTAATTCTAGTGGCTTCCCTCCTTTATTATCTTCAATGTATCCTGCCTGTATCTTGTTTGTAGATAGTTATTTGTTCTTGAGTTCAAATTTGGACTCAAACACTTACTAGCTGTGTGACCCTGGGCAAGTCACTTAACCCTGTTTGCCTCAGTTTCCTCATTTGTAAAATAAGCCAAAGAAGGAAATGGCAAACCACTTCATTATTTTTGCCAAGAAAACCCCAAATGAGGTCACAAAGAGTCAGATGTGACTGAAAATGACTGAACATTTACATGTTGTCTCCCGCATTAGATTATGAGATCCTTGAAATAAGGGACTTGCCTGTTTTTATGTCCCTGGTGCTTAGCACAGTACTTGGCAGATAGTAGGTGTTTAATAAATGCTAGCTGGCTGACAGGTGAGGTAATTGAGGCCCAGGGTCATATAAGTAAACCAGAGGAGCAGCAGGATTTGAAATCAGGTCCTCTGACTCTCCTACACCTCACCTGGATTTCAGAAGGGATGCCTCTAAATCTATGATCATACACTACTTCTTTCTAGGCCTCGGTTTCCTTGCCTGTAAAATGAGGCAACTGATGATCTATAAGGACTCTTCTGCTTCCTGTGGATGCCTACACGTACTCAAACACATAGCAGCCATATCAGAGGGGAAAGAATGCTGAACACAGAGAGCAGCTGGCTTCCAATCCCACCTGTTACTTAGCCTCCCGACTGACCATGGACAATTCACTTTACCTCTCAAGGAGGGATGGAGGAGTGGACTAGAGGACCTATAAAGTCCTTCTTTTAGGAGAGAAAGGAGAAAAGACAGATTAAAATTCAGGCCTCCAGACATTCAGTCTGGAGTCTGGACATCCAGACTCTTTCCATAACATTGCAATGTTTTCTTTTGAGTTTCCTCATTCTTTTCATTACATTCAACAAATATCTATTAAGAATCTGCTGTGAGTACAGAACTGAGTTAGAAGTTGGCATAGATAAAAATTTGGTAATGCCTGGTCACTACCCCTCTTAGAGATTAGGCTCTTTTTTTCTCAGCCTACCCAAAATTCCACTGTATTTTCTGTTTTCCTCTCCAACATAATGTAGGCTTGCAATATTAATATGAACAAGTCCTTCCAGAAAAGGGCCAGGAGTCAGGGAGACTAAAGTTACCTCAAGTAACCCACTTATCAAGATACAGCTCCTCTCTGGGACTAGTCAAATTTCCACACAATTACAGTTTACTCCCTTTTCTTTCAAGATTTATAGTTCACTTTTATGTTACTTAATGTCCATCAAAAGATACATACATTTGAGGAATAACTGATAAAAGGCTTTAATTTCCACTTTTTTCTCCCCATGTCAAGAAAACTTCAGGAAGGCCCCACTCTGTCAAGCTTATGGGAAAATTAGACAAGTCTCACAGAATCAAGAAGCATGGATAGGTTGGCCACCTGTTCCGGTGATTCTTTGGAGTAGCAAAGCTGGAGTGATGCACCTTAGTTAGATGGTGTCAGAATTCGGAAAACCAAGTCCATCTCACTGGGCTAATCCAGGATCAGGACTAGCTTCCCCCATGGGTGTGTTACTATTAGGAACATGGAATCAGAGAGCCAGAAGAGACCTTAGAGGCCCTTTTGTCCACACTACTGCTCACCCCCATTTTACAGGGTGAGGAAACTGAGGTTTAGAGAGTTTAAGTGATTTGCTTGAGGTCACACAGGTGCGAGATGCTAAGTGGCAAAGTGGCAAAACCTCCACGTGAACTCAGTCAGTCAAAAAGTATTTATTAAGCATTTACCAGGCACAGTGCTACAGCTGGGATTACAAAGAAAGGTTCCCTGCCCTTAAGGAGTCAGCTCACATTTATCTGTACAATGGGGATTTCATTCCTGGATTACTTGGGCGTAAAGTACTTTGTAATTTGCAAAGTGTTTCATCAATAGAAGCTATTCATACTATTCCCAGAGCTTTGAGGAAAGGAGTGTGGGCTGCCATCCCCTGCACCCTAATCTCTCTTCCCCTCACTCTCCCCCTCCCCCCTCCTCCTTCCTCTCCCCCCCTCCTTCTTCTTCTCCTCCCTCCCCTCTCCCTCTCTTCTCTTTTTCCTCTCCTTTCTCTCTCTCTCTCCCTCCCTCCCTTTTTCCCTTTTCTTCTTCCTCTCCCCAAATTCCATGGGGCAGCTGAAGAGTAATGACACATTGCAGTGAGGGGGCAGGCAGGATGAAGGATTAGAGGTGTTGGTTTAGATCAGAAGTCACTTCCCTGAACTGTCCAGATTAAACTTTGCCCTTGAAGTCACTGTATAATTACTTATTGAGTACTAGGCACCTGAAGTGTGAATTAAAAGTGGATCTGCCCTGACAAAATCAGTCCCAAAGAGCTCCAATACACATAAATGCACTAATTTCAGGAAGGCACTCAGATTTTTTATCTTAAAAGCTCTCACACCAGAGGTATTTTCCAGCCTCTACAGGCAAAATCTATTTCATGTCCCCCACCCCAACCCAGAATGCTGACACTTCTGTTTATTTTGCTTATAGAATTAGACATTAAAACCAATCCTTGATAAGGAAGGAGCAACAACTCATTGTCATAACGTCCTAGGATTAGGGAGGAGAAAGAGACAGGGAGAACAATTGATGGCCTGGGAGCTGGGCCTCCTGGGTTTCAAATCCACCTCTGCATCTGGCAGGTCATTATTGGATGGCCCAGATAATAGGACAACAATAGTGCTTGTCCTTAGTGACAGGGCCTGACCTGAGCAAGTCTGTTTGACGACACTTGCCCCAGTTCCCCTTCTGTTGAGCAAGAAGATGATATCTAACTTGAGGAATGCTCACAAAGCAGACCCTGATTGGGGGAGAAATAAGAAGGAAACAGCTGGAGGAGGCAGGTACAACCTCTAACCCTCAAAGTAATCATTCCCCTCCCCACACCAGGCCCTAAACCTGGTTCCCACAAGGGCATCTTCTGAGGGTAAACCCCATTCCAGAGGGCCAGGCTCAATCCTAAGAGAAGGTTCTCCAAGCCCATTCATTCTCAGCTATTTTGAGCAGACCTCATACAAATGTTCTCTGCCCTTTTCCTCTCTCACTATACTTAGAAGTTCTCTGATTCCCATGATTATTGACAGTTTGGTCCTTTTCAAACATGTACTATCCTGAGAAGCTCCCAGATATCAGCATTTTTTGTAGGAACAAAGAGAGAAGAGGGTTTTTTTCAGATCCTTAGGTTAAAAAAAGTTGTCATTCATGGGCAGAGGACAAATTAATTCCCACTTCCTCATCATGATAGGGTTGTGTAGTATTACTGACAGACCAGTACTCCCAATCCATTCACATCTGCTGATCCGGTGAGACTTTTATCTACATTCCACCCCTCACTCCAACCCCAGTTTGGGCATACAATGTTCTAGAAGCGAATTTTCTTGACCTAGGCAATATGCCAAGGAGTACTGAGGGTTCACCATTGACTTCACCACTTACTTGCTGTGTAATTCAAGGCAAGTCACTTAATCTCTGAATTTCAGCTTCCCCTTTTGTAAAATGAGGTGTTGAATTAGTTTCCTCCCAGCTTTGACCTTCTATGATTTGTCAAACTCTTTTTTTCTAAGTCCCTCAAAAATGGGTCCTCAATAAATGTTTGTTGACGGTAAGACTGGGATACACCTATTTATTTGTCATTAAGTGCCTACTATGTACCAAGGGCAACTAGGTGGTGAAGCAGATATAATACTGGGCTTGGAATCAGGAAGACTCATCTTTCTGAGTTCAAAACTGGCCTCACACACTTACTAGCTGGGTGACCCTGGGCAAGTCACTTAACCATGTTTGTCTCCATTCCTCATCTGTGAACTGGAACTGGAGAAGGAAATGGCAAAGCACTGCAGTATCTTTGCCAAGAAAACCCAAAATGGGGTCACAAAAAGTCAGCCATGACTGAAAGGACTCAACAACAATGACTATGTGCCAGGCACTATGCTGAGCACTCTTAAGGTAAGTC